CTAAAATGGAGTCAAAGTTGGGTCTTATATGCATTCAAAAACTCATTTTCAATCAAAAGATTTAAACCTTGGCTATGAGTGAGAGTCAATCACTTTTATTTTTCCACCAACATAATTTTAACCATTCAGCTTAAGACTAAACCCAACACTTCACTGTGTCTTGACAAAGTACCCCTCATATAAGAACTCTTCACAACAATCATCACACCCTCTCAAACAGGGCAAATTATTCTGTGTAGATGTCGAACGCCGTCCAAATACCAACCAAAATATGCCACATCACTCCCGCTCGGTACTGCTTACGTGGCGCATTTTGGTTGGTCTCCGAACGGTGAACTGCGTTCGATATCCGCATAGAATAATCTCTCCTCAAAAAGAGGATTTTCAATGCCTTTGAATGCCAATCTCTAAGAGTCGACTCAACCATGCAGAACCATAACAGAATCACTAGCTCTTAAGCCTTGTTCAACCATGATGAAGATACCAAAGATAGAAGTAAGAAACTTGATGAATCATCTGTCACAATTGAGCCATCAAATTTCATACCACTAGTTAAGACGAGTGAGTCTTGGGGTGAAATAAAATCATTTGGAATTTCTATTTCAACATATATTCGAAGCATCCAATATGAGATTAAACACAATAATCTCACATGTCTTAACATAACCAATGCAAAAATATGGTTAGTGAGTATAGAATGGAGTTTACCTCCAGCTGCAATCAACTTCTCAACACGTGCAACAATATGCTTCCCATAGGTATACCTCTTAAGCGTATTCAAGTGGACTTTTATGCGTGACAATATGAGTTCTCGGTTGCGATCATCACAGGTCTCCAGAACCTTCTGTACTACATAGTTTCCAAACTGATCCTTCATCATTGCCTGTTTGTCATCCCAAGCAAAAGAATTGGAAGAAAATTATTTAACAAAAAAGTGTCTTACTGAACGGCTTAAGCGTTAACAGTTAAGTTCAAATCTAGTAGCTTCAATAAAAATAAGATAATACTAAATAGAATAAATGATTCTAGTAGTCGAGAGAATTTGATTCATTTTAGAACCTTTCAAATAGAAGAGAGTCAGGAGAGAGATAATCAGAGAAGGTTATCTATGTTTACAAACATCAGAAATTAGGACAGGAAAATTTAACCTCAACCGAAGTTCTTCTACATGCCCAATATAAATTCCTATAATTTTGGAGGGATTCAACTCCTTTCCTAAATTAAGTTCACGCTCAATTTACATATATTTTTCAATATGAATTTCCATTAAGGAGCTGTTGGTTTGCTAAATTTTTATTTTTGGAGAGATTTTCAAGTGTTGGCATTTGATTGGATGGAAAAGAAATACAAGGTAAAATTTTAATAATTTTGAAACTCGTCCCTTAGTTCATATTTGTTTAATTCCAAACTAAGCCAATTTAGCCAATTTTCGAATACACTACACAAGCCGCTATCATTCCAATGTACTTGTCGAATTAGCAACTACCGCCACTAGTCTTTACGTTGAATTCATTTTACTTCAAACCAAATACAAAAAAATTAATCTTTGCTTTTTGTTTTACGCCCAACCAAACAGCTCTAAAATGTTTCAAATACACTGCATTTATTTATATTAAATTTCTTTTACTACGAATTCTTTTTTAAGCCAAATAGCTCTAATTGTATATACAAAGCTTGTTATATGTTAGGGTTAATAATGCTATGAATAGATTATTATCAAAGTAATGTAGTTTATAGTTACGTAATAGGTATTAGGAGCAAATAGATGGTTTAGGAGTCCTTATGAAATTTGAATTTTTATAAATAATCATGGAGACATTAGGGCATGGGCATCAAGCAATAATGTGAAACCCGTAGAGTACATCCAACACTTGTTATATGTTAGGGTCAATAATGAATAGAGTATAATCAGAGTAATGAAAATTATAGTTAAGTGATTGGTATTAGGAGCTAATAGTTCGTTTATGAATCTTTATGAAATTGCATTTCTATAAAGTATAAATAATATTTGCTTGGAGACATTAGAGCATCAAGTAAAAAGGTGAAATTCATTTGACCTTGGCTTATTTAGGAGTCTTAATGAATATTGCATTTCCATAAATTACCCTTACTTGAGACACATTAAAGCATCAAGCAAAGAAATGAAACTCTTTCGAGCTTTGGCTTGGGCATCCTTTAATTGCACAAAGCCTTCTCCCCCTTCTATAGGAGACTTAAGCAAGCTATAATTGCCTAGTAACCCCAATGCAAAAATTTTATTGTTTTTAATGATTTCTGAGTTTGATTTGTAACAATAGAATTCTCGTTGAATCTTTTCTTGGGTGCAATTTCCAATCTTTTCCACCTCTCTATTAGAGTCACACAGTCCAAATCTGACTGACCGCAACTTGCCATCAACATTTCATATCCCGATGTCTCTGCCTTTGCTTCCAAATTGCAAAATATGAACACAATCACCTTCATTGTCAGGAACACCAATTGACTCCCGCAAATTCATCATCACCCCACCTGCATAGATCCCGTTCTCATCTCCCTCTTCACCAAAATCATCAAATCCTGAGCCTAGACGCATCTGTGTCTTGTGATTGCAGACCCCACAACTATCCCATCCCAAATCCTAATTTTATGCCATATCCGCTCATGCTATCCCAAAACCATTGTGATCCATAATCACCAAGCCTAGATTCACTTTTGTGGCCTTGATCCACATCGGATATGCCCCATCTCCTTCATCTTTTTTTTTATATGAGCTTGGTTCCGTGCCTCTCATCAATCCAAGTCAAGTTTGTCAAGGTCAGCCTAGATCCGCATCAGACCCGCAAGATCCACCCATCCTATGTCGAAATGTTCAACGTTACAACCAACCTCCGGTGATGCCCATATCCAAGCAACTCATCTCGCCTTTATAGCCTAGATCTTGCCAATTGAACCTAACCAACATCACTATTCACCTAATTTCTCCATTCTTTGCCAACTCTGATTCGTCCAATCTAGTTTGCAAGGCTACAGAACAAGCTTCCACAAGGATTCTCGGACTTCCATCGCCAATCCCACTCGATCTCTCCTACATCCAACAAGTAATACCCATCCTCGCCTAAATCAAAACTCGCATCCACCATATCTGGATGTACCCAACCCAATTGATGTCTTGCCACAATCCAGCTATGAAATCATCTCACATAACCAAATTCATTCACTCTCATTTGCATTTGACTGCTTCCACCCAACTCAAGCTTGCAGGTGATGACAGCCACCTCCCAATTTCACTAAAATCAGCTCGATCATTAGAGCAAGGTCATTATGAAGGTATGGAAAATGATAGGGTCAATAATGTAATGAGTATATTATAATTAATGTAGTTTATAGTTAAGCAATAAGCACTCCTTAAAATATTATATAAATAGTCTTCACTTTGAGGCATTAGGTCATCAAGCAAAAAAAAAATAAAAAATAAAATAAGGTCATCAAGCAAAAATGTGAAACCCTCCAATACAAGGAGTCGTGGGCAAAAATATAAATTATGATCATAAAAAAATAAAAAGGAGTCGTGGGCATCCTTCAACTACCAAAAGCCCTCTCGCCCTCTACCAAGAATCTTAGGCAAGCTAGAACTGCATAGTTATCCCCTTTAATGCAATATTTGTACAAGTTTTCTATGATTTGAGGGTTTTGTTCATAAAACTAAACCCTTACATGGTTCGATGTTTATGTGGCTTTCCTCCTACATTGAAGGCAGTTGTTTTCGTGATTGAAATTCATAACCCCTAGATAATATAGCAAACATAATCATTGTTCCAAACTTTACCCCAATTTTGAAGAGGATTTTCTATAATTGAAAACCATAATCTCCAGATTAATAAAGACAACCTAACCATTGCTCTCTAATATGAATTCCAACAAGAGTTATGCGTCTCAAGACTTTTGTCCATGACACAAAACCAATCCTCATGTTGAGCTACTCTAATATGAACATTGGTATGAACTCCTATGTTTCCATGTTTAACTTGTTAAGGTTATTCCCCAAGCAAAAATAATTTCCTGAATAGAAAAACATATCCCATAATCAAAATATTGAGATTTAAGCCGAGAGATGTGAAATAGAAATGAGTAATTATCTAAAACAATATTTCAAGGAGAAATTAAAAAACACACATCAATTAATTTTTTAATAAAAAACACACAAAATATATATATATTTAAAAAAAAAAAAAAAAACCTTAGCCGCCCTATGATGGAATGACTTGGACGGTTGGACCTTTTGGTTTCTACACAGGCAGCCTATATGTCCACAGAACAACTATTTTTTTTTATAAATATGATTATAGAATTTATAAAATAAAAACATTTTTAGCAAAATCATATTTGAAAACTTATTTTTTATTTAAAAATATTTAAAACTAAAATTTACAATAATGAGAAAACTTTTTTTATAATTTCAAACTTTATTTAATCGTATTCAGTATACATTAATTGATTGATTTGGATACATTTTTTGTAACCAGTGTGCTTTTGAATTCTATAATTTGATTTTAAAAAAATTCAATAACCACTCAAATAAATTTTATGTCTATCTTAAGATAACATAATAGATATTATAAAAAAAGATTTTAATATATCCAGCTAATGACATGTTATGTTCAAATACAATTCATAGCTATGTTTTAATTCAACGGTGTTTTTTTATGCTCATGCTTTAAAATGACAATATGTTTCCTTAATTTTTTTTTAAATTGCAGTTTTCAAAAAAATTCTAATTTTGTATTTTTAATAATATATTTATAAGTCATTTATCTACCACAGATACTGTCTGATTGGCAACCCAAAAAGAGGCTAATAGGGTTGTTTCAATTGTGTTCACTCTTTAAAAATTTAAAGAAATTTTTCTTTTAATTTTGTTAATTGTTAAGATGCTACTATAGAAAAGTGAAACAATTACGAAACTACTACAAGCCGATTCTGACTAGTTCCCCAAACTTTATAGCATATGCAATTCTTATCTTGATCCTGATTCCTATGTATTAGTTTGTTGTGGAAGCTTGTTGGTTTTAAGATTCGCTTAAGGCATGCCATGCTTTTGTACTCAATCTTTGCTTTTGATTGCTGCTAGCACCTAGCATAGAGTATGAAAAGTGCATAAATAAATGATTTGAGCCATATAAATTATGAACTTGTGGCTTGAAAACTTTTTTTCTACTTTTTCTCTTGTGAAAAAAATTTGGATGTGATTCTTGAATGCAGTGCAAGTGCGACTAACTAATTTCAAAGGGAGTGATTTCGTTGTACTAGAGTGAGACCTTGTTCGATAAATTTATTCCTTGTCCTATTTCATTTGCATGATTTGTTATTGTCATGTATAATGCTCTTGATTTTAATCAATGAGAGGCATGTTGGAAATATGATTACTGTAAATTAATTTGATTTGTTTGTAGGTTTAAGTTGTTTCTAATTTGTTGCATAAATTCAAGGATAGTTTTAACCATTTTATCAAATGATCTTAAATTCTAATATCAAATGTTTTCAATTAAATAAAGTAAGTTGTTGAATGAATTAGTTATTTGTGAAGATGAAAGTTATTTGTAAGTCTACCCTAGACAATATGAATTTGAAACTAGAACCATATTCAAAACAATATAAGTTAGGTTGGTCATTGACGCCATTCTTTAGATCTCAAACATGATTAATTCTAATTCGATTAGCTGCCTAGACTGATAAAATTTGATGTGACGTAGAAATTGCAAATTTTAAGTAGACTTTGATAATATAATACCACAACAACATCAAGCATTTATCCCACAATATATGTTGGCTACATGAATCATTTTTCTTCATTATGTCCTGTTAAGAGTCAAATTCTCATTTAAATCTAGAAAGTTCATTTCTAATATTCTCTAATCAAGTCTTTTTAGATCCATTGACATAGCTCATATTAGTTTGAGTAAACTTTGATAATATGATATAGAAGTTACTCATTTAAGGAGATTTCATCATATACTTCCAAGACTAATAATAGAAAAACGGCTTTGAAATAAATAAAGCCTGATAATAAACCTAAATCAACAAATGAATCTAGTGCTCCCAATGAAGTGAAAAAGGCAATGAACATTTTTAGTAAACATACATTTTTAAAAGAGTACAAGCACGAGGTTCATTGTCATATTTCATCTATATAATATGGTATTAGCTTATGTAATGTTCTTGATTTTGATCAAAAAAGTGACAAGTCATAAATCTAATTTGTGAAAATTAATATGTTTTGTTTTATTTATTTATTTTATTTCAATTTCTTGCTAAATTTATCAACTATTTTCGATCATTTCATTATGATTGCTCTTAGCTTTTAGTATCATTTATTTTCATTCATAGAAAGTGAATTGTTAAATTAACTGGTACATATGCTATGTAAATCCTCAAAATTTTTTTACAAGAAAGCATACAACACGTCATGTTAATTGCATCGGGTAAACCTTAACATTGAATTGCCCTGCATCACTAACAACACATTCCCTTTTTTTAATCAAATGAGAAAAGGAAATTATTCTTTTAAAAGATGTCATAAAAAGATTGTCTACAAAACAAACCTGCAAGGGCTCATTTTCTTCAGTAGAACCAAGCATCTCATTTATTAGAAGCTGGCGTTCCTCAGGACTGCTGTATGTCAAGCATTTCTCAATAACATTTGAAGCAAATTTCTGCTGGCTCATCTTCACAATTTCTCCTGAAAGCTTGCTGATTATACAAGACCGCTCCTCTGATTTTCCATGTTGCAAGACATGCTAAAATTATCAAAACTAAAAGTCATTATTTTCTTCAACAGATTAAAATTATCAAGTAAAGGTCGCAGGTAAACGCAATCCAAATGCAGCAGACAGATACAACAATAGCAACAACAACAACATCAAGTGATGCAGGACATATATGAAAATTTGATTTAGATAAGGAATTTGCACGCTTAAGAAGTAAGAGCGAATTAATTAAAGCTTTGTGATGACTCAAACAAAGAAAAAAAACTAAAGAACGGTAAACACAAGCTTAGGCCAAATTACTTGCAAAAAGTAAAACCCACATAATAATCAATTGATCTAGACGTTGCAAACAAAATGGGTTTCAACAAGAAATCCCTAATCTAACATTAAGAGTAGTGCTATGAAAGATCTCTCAAGAAATTCCTACTAAATAATAAGCTTGTTGCGGAGCTTGGCAAGACTTTGCATGAATCAAATAAAACTACAAGCAAGGATCAACGAAGAAGGTAAGAGATAAGGAAAGAGTTCACACTTTGCTAAGTTTCGACCTCCTCGCAAACTTGGACAGCAGTTGGTGGCTTCCTGGATGGCTCAGGCAGCAACAACCCCAGCCCGAACTGTGGACAGCAAGCAGCCACACCTGGGGCAGCGATTTCCGATAGATTCAGGCAGCACCAGTGGCTTCCCAAGGGGCTGGACGGCATGGAACTCTTGCTGGAGTCACTGGACAGTAGGCAGGTGCTCTTGAGAAAAGCCTTACAGCAGTTTTGGCACTTGGAAAAACTCTGGACGGCAAATCTGGGTAACCACGGGTGCAGAACAAAACCTTGGCAGCAGTTTTGGCACTTGAAAAACTCTGGACAGCAAGTTTGGATAGCCACGGGTGCAGAACAATTCATCGGCAGCAGTTTTGTGAACCTTCAGGTTGAGGAAAAATCAAGAGCAGGTGCAGAAAGTTCTGGCAGCAGACTTGGAGTGCAGGAAAACTCAAACCGCATGGAGTTTATGAGGAATTTAGAGAAGGTAAACCTAGTAAAATTACTAGGGAGGGAGGCGGGCAAGTGTGGCCAGGTTTTGGAATTGTTTCCAACTTGAAGGGGGCTGAATTTTGGGAACAGAAATTTGAGGTGGGCCTTGGAGATTCCGGTCAAGCGAAGGGGGAAAGAATTTGAATCGTTTCCATTAGAGGGGCTGGGTTTTAGGAAACAAATCCAATTCAATTCCTTAGAGGGGGCCGGCAGCTTTTAGAGGGGAAATAGGGATTAAATGCAAGGGCTTAATGCTTGCTTAATTGGGGAACCTAAATTAGGGAAGTGAAATTAAATCCCCTTCAATCAAATATTGAATTGAGGATGAGGTTTAAAATTTTCCTAAAATAGACTTTGTATTTTAGGAAAGATTTTGAAATTCAAATCACTTGGATTTGAATTCAAAATTTCTTCCTAATTTATTCAATCTAGATTAGGAAATATTTGAAGACCAAAGGAAGGGAAGTTCACAGGAGGCCGGCGGCTAGGATGGATGGCCGCCGGTTTTGGTAGTGGTAAGGTGAAGTCGGTTTGGTGAAGAGGGGATGGGTTCGGTGGGTGTGTGGGGTTTGGCCGTGAGCGGGGAAAAGGGGATATGGCCGGCGGCTTAGGGATTTCGGGGAAGTCTAGGCCGGCGGTTAGGAGAAGAGGGGAAGGAGAAGGAGAAGATAGAGAAATAAAACCACGAACCCGGACTCTTCCAAGGTTGGTGGGTGATCCGTTTACTCTCTCCTAGAGATTTCTCTCCAAAGCTCTCAAGCTCTCACACAAACACAAGATTGCAGGAATTTTCATTATCATTCAATCATTAACCTCTCCAAAGGAGGATGGTGGCTTTAAATAGCCAAATACATGAAGGGGAAATAACAAAGACACAATTGCCCCTAGGGAATACATAAGACAAAGCCCTCAAGTGAGGGTAGAAAGGAAAAATGAAAAATAATAAATCAAATACAAAAAATAGATCAAAATAAAAGGCACGATCGTAACCGTAGATTTCTTATGTCCTCATCATCAAGCCTTTGCCCCACTACGTGGGGTCGGCTACATGAATCCTTTTTCGCCATTGTGCCATGTTAAAAGCCAAATACTCATTTAAATCTAATAAAGAAATATCATTTCTAATATTTTCTACCCAAGTCTTTTTAGGTCTACCTCTACCTTTCTTAACATAAGTCAAATCAAATACCTCAACTTTTCTAACCGGGTCATCGGAAGGACTGCGTTTAATGTGACCAAACCATCTAAGGCGGCTCTCTCTAATCTTATCTTCCACTGGAGCTACTCCAACCTTTTCACGTATATTCTCATTTCACGTATATTCTCATTTCGTATCATATCTCTAAGGGTAAAGCCACTCATCCACCTAAGCATCCTCATCTCTGCAACACTCAACTTAGTATTATGCTTATCTTTTAATGGCCAACATTCGGCACCATAAAACATTGCAGGTCCCTTAACTTTCGGGGGGGGGGGCTTTTCTATTGCACAACAAGCTAAGTTATCATGTTAAAGCATGGCTTCTTCATTTCAGTTGTACCAATTGCCAATTCCCACACCGTGGAATCTATCGGACAGTAAGCCCTAAAAACTGCTTATAAAACAAGATACCAACTACAAAGATAAGAGGGACTCTATTTGACCAGCAAAATCTCAATAATTTGTAATGCAGGCAAGTTACAAAAGAAGAATATATGCACATACAAGACGAGAATATTGAACTAGAGAACTGATCAAAATAAGATGTGTCAAAATCATATGGCCATAGTAAAAGATAAAGTCTTCAAAGAAATAAAAACTTCATGTGAGATATTATTAAATAACCGTAAGAGTTTGATTAAGAAAAACATAAGAATGATCCAAAGGGGTAATGATTAATTAGCTTTGAAGAGGAACAAAAATAAAACTTCATATGAAATGCTTATTGAAATTTTGAGAATTGTAAAAGCAGGTAGAAACTATAGTAGTTTGGTTAATAAATCCTTTTAATGAAATTTAAAGACAAAATATGCCAAAAGATTGTTTTATGCTAGTATTTAAAAGCAATTCAGATGCTCAAGATTGTGGTAGTCATAAATGAATCTAACTTACAAGTTGTATAATGCATAATTGTGAAAACCGGACTAAACATTGAACCGGAAGAAAGAGAGGTTCAAAGTTCAATAGTTCGATGGGAGTTGAACCGGATGATGTAATAAATATTAAAATTATTTAAATAATATCTAAATGAAATAATAATGGTATACTGAACAATAGATCCAAGATACCTAAAACGTGTACTCTTATTAATGACTTGATCGCCCAAAGTCACAATCCCCTCACTAGGACTATTACTGCTAAAATTACACTCCATATATTAAACATATTCAATCTTTAAATTTAATTCAAATTTAACAAAAAATTAACTTACATATCAATTTATAAGTTTAATATAAATTATTATTAATTTATGTTATATATTTATATATAATTTACACTTAAAATTTATATGCAATAGTCATGATCTATATAATCATCATATATATATCTTATTTTAAGTACAAAAAGTAGTTAAAAAAAAAAAACTGAACCTCAAGGAACATAACCAGCCTCACACGCTTGATTTCTGTCATGACCTTAAATCATTTAAAAACATATAATGAGCTAAAAATTCGAGTAATTCACCAAAACTTATAATTGAATTCAGAGTACGGTAAAAGACCAATATGCATGCCAACAATCAAATCATATTTTTTATATTCATATGATCATTGAATTAGTAAAAAATAATAAAATTCACATGCAGTTATAGTGAAATTTATAAATATTAAAACACTACGGTACGGAAAGTCAGTAAAGTAGTAAATCAGCACGAATGTTAAATCTATAAAGCAATTGTCGTATTCCTAATATTAATCAGTACATAAATCAAATAAAAGCATCAAATAAAAACATTTCTAAAGACCATCGAAATCATGTCAATGTAATAAAATCATATAAGAGTGTACATATACTATTCGAGTATTCTATATCACGTGCTCAGTATATCGCATGCTTAATATTTGTATAGTGAATTAGTGTCTAAATCGGCCCCCGCTGAAAAAAAAAAGTTCTGACTCCACCACTTGTGACATAATAAACATACTAAAGAGACTGATAAATGATTAATATGTCTTTGAATAATGTATAAATGAAACATAATTATGAGGGATGTTTTTGCATCTAAATATTTTAATTATGAATTGCATAGATAATATTTAGACATTATTAAATGGTTCTTTTAAATATATTTATATATTAATTTTAGTGATATGCTTGAAATTATTCAAAATTTTAAATATTATATATATAAATAAATATTTCAATATTATATATTTAACTGCATATAACTTTTTATGACAACCAAAGCAGTAATATATCTCCCCTGCCCGTTTATGCGGGAAATTTCAGCTCCGAGAATACTAAAAAAACATGGGCAAATTATTAGGTCAAGTCACCAAATTTTTATTACATGAGGTGTCGTGACGTAGCTCTTTGTTCGGATGCCAATGATATGTCGCCACGTGCTCCTATTACCGCACGACCCAACGACCTAACCGGAATCAGAACCCGGTATTGCTAAGTTAGTGTACTGTTAGGTATTGCTCAGCATTGCTAGGTATTAATTGATAATAATGAGAAATACCACTCTATCAAGACCAATACCGAGCAATACCTAGCAAAATAGGGGTATTGCTCGGTATTACTCGGTATTGCTCACCAAATTTTTATTACGTACGGTGTCGTGACGTAGCTCTTTGTTCGGATGCCAATGATATGTCGCCACATGCTCCTATTACCGCACGACCCAACGACCTAACCGGAACCAGAACCCGGTATTGCTAAGTTAGTGTACTGTTAGGTATTGCTCAGCATTGCTAGGTATTGCTAGGTATTAATTGATAATAATGAGAAATACCACTCTATCAAGACCAATACCGAGTAATACATAGCAATATCCCGACCTGCACAAATCAGTCAAATACATAGCAATATTGGATCCGTGTCCGAGTCAGATCGTCGGGCCGCGCGATAAAAAGTAGGAGGACGTGACACTATTTTACTGACGTGTGCTACGTAAGGACACCAGATATAATAAAAATCCGGACCTACTTTTTAGGTCCGGTGACCGGAGCTAATAATTTGCCAAAATCATGCGACCGTCGCCGTCCCACACTACCCACGATCGAATTATCCCACGCCTTCGCAGCCTAACCACCGCGGCCGCCGCCTCCGCCTCCGCATCGCTCCAGTCTCTTCATTCGTCCTCCCTTTTCTGCAACAGCGAAGTCAAAGAGCAACAAGATGAAGACCCGGACACTAAATCCCAGAACATAGCTAACCGATCCTACTGGACGAGAAAGATACACTCTCTCTCCTCAAGCCCAGGCCAGATCGACGCCGCTCTCCGCCTCATCGACCGTCTGCGCCTACGTGGCTTCCGTCCCGACTCCATCAATCTCTCCAGCATCATCCATGGCCTCTGCGCCGCTGGCCGCTCCGACGAGGCTCACCGCCGCCTTCTCTTCTCTTTCACATCCGGCATTGTTCCGGACGACCGCACTGCCAACGTTCTTCTCGCTCGTCTCCTTGACGCCTCCACACCTCGCCTCACCCTCTCCGTCCTCCGTCATTTGCTTCTCGCTAAGCCGGCCTTTGTTCCTTCTCTCACTAACTACAACCGCCTCATTGACCAGTGTTGTTCTCTTTTAGATCCCTTCGAAGCTTATAATCTCGTCCGTGACATGATCGTTCGCGGACGCTACCCGAATGCGGTGACATACACTGCCCTTATTGATGGGTTTGGCCGGTTTGGTCTATTGGATGATGCACGACGAATGTTTGATGAAATGTTGCAGAGAAATATTAAGCCGAATTCACTTACTTATAGTGTTTTCATAAGGTGGTTGATGAGAAAGAAAAGTGTGCAGGAAGGAAAGGAAATGATGGGGAGGCTTTGGATAACAATGCAACAAGAGGAAGACAGAGCAGTCAACAGCGCTGCTTTTGCAAATCTTATTGATTCCTTGTGCGTTGAAGGGTTTTTCCATGAGGTTTTCAGGATAGCAGAGGAGATGCCACAGGGGAAGTGGGTTTGTGAGAAATTTGCTTATGGCCAAATGGTAGATTCCTTGTGCAAGGCTGGACGGCATCATGGTGCATCAAGGATTATTTACATAATGAGAAAGAGGGGTTTTATTCCAAGTTTGGTTTCGTATAACAGTATTGTTCATGGCTTGAGCAAGGAAAGAGGTTGCATGAGAGCTTACCAGCTGTTCAGAGAAGGGATTGAGTTTGGGTATTCACCTCCAGAGGCAACTTATAAAGTGCTTGTTGAGGCTCTATGCAAGGAGAAAGATCTCTACAAGGCTAAGGATGTCACAGAATTTATGATAGAGATAGAAGGGGTTGACAAAATTCGAATCTACAATATATTTCTAAGTGCACTTCGACTCACAGACAATCCAAGTGAGCAGCTGAATATGCTGGTATTGATGCTTCAAAAGCAATGCCATCCTGATGCTGTTACGCTTAACACAATTGTCCATGGTTTCTGCAAGATTGGCAGGGTTAATGAAGCTTTGAAGATCTTGGAAGATATGATGGAGGGAAAGTTCTGCTCTCCTGATGTTGTGACCTTCACTACTGCTATTTATGGTCTAATTGATGTTGGTAGGTTTGAAGAAGCCTTATACTTTATGCACAAAGTAATGGCTGAGCACAATTGTGCTCCTAATATAGTGACGTACAATGCAGTTCTGCGTGGATTATTTAAACTTGGGAAGGTGGATAAATCAATGGAGATTTTCCATGAAATGGTGGGCAAGGGGGTACATGCTGATTGTGTGACTCATACAATAATTATTGAAGGACTTTGTGAAGCTGGTCAGTTTGATCAAGCGAAGAAGTTTTGGGATGAAATTGTGTGGCCTTCGAATATTCATGATGACTATGTTTATGCTGCGATAATGAGAGGCTTGTGCAGTTTAGGGAAGCTGGATGTAGCTTGTGATTTCTTGTATGAATTGGTGGATTGTGGGGTTTCTCCAGGGATTGTGAATTATAATATTTTGATTGATAGTGCTTGCAAGCAGGGTATGAAGAAGCAAGCTTATCAGATTGTGGGTGAGATGAGGAAAAACGGATTGAAACTTGATTCAGTATCTTGGAGGATTTTAAACAAGTTGCATGAGAGGGAAAGCACAAATCTTCCTGATGCCAGTCTAGAAGTGAATGGAACCAGAGAGAAAGTATCATCAATGTCAGAGGGGCTTCAAATTGATGAAAAGAATGAATGCATTGAGAAGAATGATGGGGAGCTTGGCGACCAATTAGAAGGTCTCGTAGATCATTCCTTTACTTCTAAATTCATTCAAGATGATGAGTTTAATGAAGGTTGCTCTCCTCCAGTGAAAATTTGTCGGCATGGTTCCATCAATGTGATTAAGGTGATAGAAAAAAGGCAAAAAGAACCATTATCAAAGCTCGCTAGGAGGGTATTTGGACTACTATAAAATGAACAGTCTACAAATTGAGAAGTTTGAATTACCCAGGTTTTGAAACTCAGCTCTATTACTGCTTTCAACGTTAGATTTCTCCCATGATTATTCGTTTTGGTAATTCCAGAAGATTAATCTGTTTTGCCCTCTTAACTTTGGTTTTCATTTTGTTTGTATAGCATTTTAATATTTAGCATGTACTTTAGTGTATTCATGATGCATGTCTTCATAATATAATACTGTATATAAATAAGAGTATTTAGTTAAAACTTTAACAATAAATGATATTGTTGTTATTCATTAGTTCATTAATCATTCATTTTGCATAATACAATATTGGATTGGCAAACCCACATAGTGCAGTTTACTGTGCAAATCGGTCAGTATATGTTCGTTTGAAAAACTTATGCTTGTTGAAAAATATATCTGTTCATCACCAGGAATAGAGATTGCTTAGGGCGTCTCCAGCCGAACTTCAAATGACCGTAAGAAATAGCTGGTTTGCTCCATTCGAACGGCAAAAAAATTGCTAATTGGTGGAGGGTGAACAATGCGACGCCAATATTTGATGTTGCACTGTTCACGTACGCGATTTTTCTGTCTCAGCTGGATTTGCCGAAGAAACGCGCGAAAGAGGAGAAAGATAGTTACCTTCGCAGAGGCGTGCAAAATGGAATTCGATTGAAAATGAATCACTACATTTTTTAGTTTCACTGCATTTTGGAGTGAAAAATAGGATTTTCGGTTGGAGATGCCCTTACCATTATTGTTTATTTGATGTAGCTTCATATTGTCTGTGCATATCCGATTCACTCATTTATTATTCTTTTTTACCAATAAAAAAGAAGGTCAACTAGCAATATACTGCTTTTTCACAGGTTCTAAAAAATGGGAGAAAATGCTTCAAGATGGGAGGGAGCATTTTCTATTATTCGTGGCAAATTAAGCAGAATAAGAAAGAAAATAAAAATGTCTTGAAATAATGCTACTGCTGTGGAAACCTTCTGCGAACATTCAAACATCATGCAACTAATTGAGAACCTCTGCCACGAATATCGAGACAGAAAAATTGGTAACCATTTAAACTTTTAACCTTACTGATTCCATCCCATAATTCAATTATTTATTCCAAGAAGATCATCAATGACACTTGACCTAAAAATGTTTTTTCTTTTTGAATCTATAGCATTTTTTGCTGTTGAATTTGGATTACAATTTGTGGATTTTATTAGCCTGTGGAACATTTCCTAATCCTATAACTATTGTATTTACTACTTTACCTGCTCTTGGCCTATATAATGGCCCTGATACTCTGTACATGAATTTAATTCAATTACTTCAACTATTTACATTTCCCGCTCTGTTCTCTCTACCTGCTTCCTTCTCACCGCCTCTCTCATGGTATCTTGAGTCAAAATGGGGGACCAAGATTCAGCAACCTCCCTCCCTCCCTCTTCCACTGCCATCGCCGGCAACTCCCTCGAGCTTCCCATACCGGCATCACTCAAATTTCTCATCTCCAACGTCAAGAATCTGATCCCTCATCCTCTCACCGTCGACAATTACGCGATATGGCGTATACAGATTATACAACACTTCACCGCCAACGGCTACGCCGGACATCTCACCGGTAAAATGTGAGACCTCGTTCCCTTACTGTTCCTCTCTGATTTGGATTTTTCCTTTCAGGATCGTCCAGGACGATTGGAAATCGTCCAGGCCGATCGGCACTGTAGAAAATATCGGCCTGAGAATAGTTCTGGGAACAGTCCAGAACGATCCGCCCACGATGTCTGGACGGTTCTTGAACGCCGGCTTCAACCAACGAGTCGGTCCCGTGTCATCCAGCTCAAGAATGAGCTCCACCACATACAGATGAAAGATCTAAGCATGCAGCAATACCTCTCTCAAATCAAGAACATTGTCGATAACATTGCCGCATCGGGGTCGCAAGTCGATTCTGAAGATGTCGTTCTCTACATTCTAAACGGGATCCCATCTTCCTACAACTCGTTCAAGACGACTATTCGTACTTCTTCTCTTCCGGCAGATCTGGACAACCTCTACTCTCTCCTCTGTAGCAAGGAGATTCATGTCCAACAAGAACTACTTAAAGACTCCTCCAACAGCTCCTCGGCAACTGCTCTACAAGCTTCCATCCCGAGTCAAAATCGGTGGCGATCTCAGAAACGTTATGCCAAGAACTTCAACAATAACCCCAGACAACCCGCCCTTACTCAAACGCCTCCCGTTCCGACTGCTCCTCCGACGAACCGTCCTACGTGACAAATTTGTGGGAAAATAGGACACATCGCAATCAATTGCTGGCACCGCTGCAACCCCAAATACACACCCACTATATCCAACGGCCAACGGACTATGATGGCTCAGCCCACATCCTACCCAACTCAAGATTGGATCATTTACTTCAGTGCCCCATCTCACCTTACTCCGGACTCCTCCAACATTTCTCATCCTCTTACATATCAAGGACATGATACCATCTCCATCGCAAATGGATCAAATCTACCCATTCAACACTCCGGACTCCTCCAACATTTCTCATCCTCTTACATATCAAGGACACGATACCGTCTCCATCGCAAATGGATCAAATCTACCCATTCAACACTCCGGACAGGGACTGCTACCTCTACCGGACACGAATCGTAAGCTTCGTCTGTGTAACTTCCTCCATGTCCATTCTCTTACTCACAATTTATTATCCGTTTCAAAATTAACATCCGGCAACTCTAGTTTGATAACATTTGATGCTAATGGCTTTGAAATTAAGGACCTACAGGATCGTCAAACGCTTTTTCGTGGTCATCTGCATAATGGCTTATACCGCATCAAACCGGACTCCAGCATTTCTTCGGCTACTCTACACACCAGCGTCTCTTCCTCCCAACTTTGGCATGCACGTCTCGATCACCCAAACAGCTGTCTACTTCCTCTTCTTGCCAAGCAAATTCCTGATTTCAAGAACGTCTCTTTATCTTTTTTATGCAAATCTTGTAACGTGGCAAAAAGTCACAAACTTACTTTTAGTAAAAGAATTTATGTTTCTACAATGCCGTTTGAACTCATCCACTCGGATGTCTGGGGACCGACTCAAGATCCGTCCCTGGATGGTTACAGATACTACGTAGTTTTCATAGATGATTTTACCCGCTTTTCTTGGATTTACTTTATGCATTCTAAACAAGAGACGTTCACTAAATTTAAAATATTTTGCAGTTTAGTCAAAAATCAACACTCAACCACTCCAAAAACATTCCGCTCCGACGGCGGCGGCGAGTTCAACAGTAATGCCTTCAAATCTTATCTACAAGATAACGACATTATTCAACAGCTGAGCTTCCCTCATACGCCTGAACAAAATGGAGTCGCCGAACGAAAACATCGGCACCTCCTCGACCTAACCCGTACCCTGTTACACGCTGCCTCTCTCCCGCATAAATTCTGGGCCTATATCCACTGCAAATTACCTCATAAATCGCCTTCCATCCAAGTCTATGGCGCTCAATCTCCTTATCAAAATCTTTGCAGCGTTAATCCTACGTATACTCACCTCCGAACTTTCGGCTGTCTTTGCTACCCCTGGATGCAACCCTACGCTACAAGCAAGCTCTCTCCTCACTCCCTTGATTGCGTCTTCATTGGTTACTCGCCCATTCACAAAGGATACCATTGCTACAACCTTGTCACTCACAAAATCCTCACTTCACGTCATGTCAATTTTTCACAAGCAAATTTTTCCCTTCACACAAAATCCTCTTACCTCTCAATCCAAATGGGCAAGTTGATCGCTACAAAGCACGATTGGTGGCTCTCGGCTATGATAAAAAATTCGGAGAAAACTATACCGAAACATTTCGTCCTGTCGCCAAGATGCCGACCATCTGAATGCTTCTCACACTAGCGCTCAATCAAGGTTGGCCCATGCTACAACTCGACATCACCAACGCCTTCCTTCACGGCGACCTCCCGGACGACATCTATATGCGCCAACCGCCCGGATTCATAGACAGCCAACAACCAACATTCGTCTGCAAACTTCAGAAATCCTTATACGGACTTAAACAGACGCCGCGACAATGGTTTCACAAGCTCACGAGCTTTCTTCAGACACGCGGATTCGGGTTTAGCCACTCTGATCCCTCTCTTCTTATTTTAAATCATAAGCACACCCACCTCTAGCTACTCATCTACGTCGATGATATTCTTGTCACAGGAAACAATCCAGAAGAAATCAATTCTCTACTCAAGGCTCTACACTCACAATTTGCCCTCAAGCAATTAGGCCAAATCTCTTGTTTTTAGGCATTCAAGTTCTCCGGAATGGCACAGACTTCTTCCTCAACCAAACACATTACGCCACTAAGCTACTCCGTGATTCTGGATTTGAGCACTGCAAAGCTGCTCCCACACCGGTGGCACCGCAAACAAACATCTGCAGCCCGGTCTTCAGCCATTCTCCGATCCCTCTCTATAACGCCGACTAGCCGGGTCACTCCAATACTTATCTATCACCCGGCCAGACATCGCCTATGCAACGAACCGTGTGTGCCAACATATGCAACAACCCTCCGTCCAGGACTATCAATCTCTAAAGCGCCTCCTACGCTACATAAAAGGGACTCTAGCTTACGATTTACCCATACGAAACGACAACCTTCAACTACAAACTTACACTGACACCGACTGGGCGTCTGATGCATCGGACTGGAAGTCCATCTCCGGTTACTGTACGTTTCTCGGTCCTAACCTTATTTCTTGGACAATCAAGAAGCAAGTGACGGTGGCTAAATCCTCTACTGAAGCGGAATACCGCTCTCTCTCGGCAGCCACGTCTGAGGCAATCTGGCTCCGTCGACTAGCTGCGGAACTGCATCTCCCTCAGTCCTCACCGACCACTGTCTACTATGACAACATCTCCGCAATTGCTCTAGCCAAGAATCCCGTCTTTCATGCTCGGACAAAACACATTGAGATTGACTATCACTTCATCCGACAGCATATCCAGTCCGGAGACATTCAACTAACCCATCTACCTTCGCAAGATCAAATCGCAGATGTGTTAACTAAACCACTTTCTTCCACACGCTTCAATTTTCTTCGAACCAAATTAACCATTCAATCCCCGAATGATTAATTTGCGGGAGGATATTAGCCTGTGGAACATTTCCTAATCCTATAACTATTGTATTTACTACTTTACCTTCTCTTGGCCTATATAATGGCCCTGTTACTCTGTACATGAATTTAATTCAATTACTTCAACTATTTACATTTCCCGCTCTGTTCTCTCTAGCTGCTTCCTTCTCACCGCCTCTCTCAGATTTGCTGGTAGAAACGTTTGCATTTGTGTTCCCATGGATGGAGATTTGAAACGAGTAACCTTGGGGAAGCTCTGGTTGCAGGTAATCAGTACTCTAGTTTTTTTTTTTTTTTTTCTAATTTATAATGAAATGAAAAATAATTGTTATGCCTTTTTGGTCTTTATTTTTCTCTTTTTCTATATTGTTAATTTACAGTTTTTGTGATGGTGATGTTTAAGGTTCTGAAAATAGCTAAATCATTAAATGGAACTACTTTTTCTCTTCTGCTCTTTTTGAATGTTTTGAGGTGATAATGAATATTAAATTATTGAAACTTTTATTATCGTTAGTCTGCTACCATCTATTTGCCATCTTCTTGCATGTTTTTATCCTTTCTACTTTCTTCGCATGGAAAACTAGACCTTCAGATGAGAAGGAAAGTGCGGGCTTAAACCTTTTTGATGTCGTGATGTTCTTCTTCAGTATGATTTTGATGTGGATTGTGTTAGACCGCTCCGACAAGTCCAGCCAATCCATACGGAACCGGCTTATGAATGAAACATGCAGAAGTTACGCTCCGAACTCACGCCCAGGCGTGCGTGAGCTGTTTAAGAATGATTTTTGAGGGAGTTATTGGGGAAATTTGAATGTAGGGACTGTTTAGGGATTTTCTTTTGATTTGTATGCTTTAAATAGTTTGTTTTCCTAGGGTTAAGACATCTTGAATTTGGCTGAAATTGTAGATATATTAGGTTTAGGTTTTTGGGCTCTAGCGGCGTCTAGAGATTTGGGAGAGATTGATCCTTCTCTTGTATTGAGACCTTCTCTCGTATTGAGGATCAACTGTATCTTGCTATTTTCTGTTTCCATTTCATCAAATAATACAAATTATCTACTATTTTCGTGGTTTTGTGGAGATTTCTCGCTGTTTTCCGAAGATTGATAGGAAATATTTGAGATCTACAAGTGTTTCCTATCAAATTGTTATTCAGATAATTTATTTGTTTCATATTCAAATGTATTCAACTAATTGAAGCTAGTATTGGTTTTGCTTGATAGCTATACAAAATGCATCCCCAGTCCCCAGTATACTCTTAGCATATAGCTAGAACAAAAATGCCGAGAAGGCTGGCTTTTAAAAGAAAAAAAAACATGCTGAGAAGGTTGATTTTTGTCTCCTGGTTGTTTCATAGCATTCAGTGTGCGCACATCTTCTTGATAACATACTTGAGCTACCCATAATATTATTTTTCAAACTTACTTGGCTTAGAAGGAAATGCTAATTTAAAATATTTGGTTACTTGCACAATAGCAAATGAATGGGCTTGACAATGACAACATTACTTGTCTTTATTGATGTTTTCAGAACATGACACAGCATGACATACATTGAAAAAGGACTACTTTGAGTTCGTTCGGGTTATAAAGATGATTGTAAAATTATTGTGGAGCAAGTAACTTTTTGAAAAGCTGTTGTAAAACGAAGTTTCCTAGCACAAATTTTCTTGAAAGTAATAAAAATGCAATGGTCAAACAAAAATTATGATTGTGATATGAAAGACAAAATAGTAAGAAAGCTGTTCGAAACGAAGTCTTTATTATTAAGTTCCATACTTCCATTCATATTTGGTTTAAAGATTAATTGATTAATTTCAATCCATCCAAGTCAAAATATCACTCTTCCAAATGTTTTTCACATTATGTTAAGGTAATTTTTTCTTGGAAATTGATGCAGGTAAAGGGGGGGGTCAACTCAGGCTCAAATTAAATTAATTTTGGCCCCTCCCTAGTCTTCAAGCTCAAAGAATTTTGAGCTGGAATTTAGCTCATTTATGAGCTGATTTTTAGTTCATTTATTGGACTATAGGTTAGCTCATTATTAGTTAAGTTTTAGCTCATATTTATCTTTTATTTAATGCACTTTTATTATAGTTTTTAATATTTTAAATTATGGTGTCTTGGGTTCCAAAAGGGCTTTTGTAATTACAAGATTGATGTTTTATTTTCCCATGTGTGGCTCCTTGAATTCCACCATGGCTTTTAGTGTCTTTGCCCCCTTGGATTCTGGCCGGCTGCTGGTTTTTCCGTGCCTGGGCTCTTTCCCGTGACCTTACCCCTTGGTTTCGGGCGGTCTCCTTGGTTCCCGTGGATGCCTTTTCGGTTCCTTGGCTTGGGATGTTTTTTAGGTATTTTAATGCTATGTAATGTTTAGAATTCCTATGTGAATTTATTAGGTGTCTCTTGGTATTCCTCTTTCATACCTATAAATATGGGAGGATTTGTAATGTTTAAAAAAAAGTGAATGATATGTTATTTTTGGAAAAGCTATAACCTACGGGTTTGCTTTGGAAATCCTGCGGACTCTTTCCACCCTTCTTTCTCATCCCCTCCGGAAATCCTGCGGGCTCTTTCCAACCTTTCTTCTCGGGCTTCTAACCTCTTTCGTCTCTCCGCAAGTGCCACTTCACCTGTATCCTTCTTCTCTGAGTGCAGCAACTTTAGGGTGACGTTAAGTGTAAGCGTCCAAGTTTGTAAGTCGGTTAAATTTTGCAAGAGTCATTATTGTAAGTCTTTTGATTTCTAGTTTTTTACATTTTATTTGAAATGTAAGAGTTTGTTCGTCCTTTTTTCGTCTTTAGTCATTTTCGTCGATAGAAGTCCAGTCTCCTTATTTGTGGGCGAAGGGTATAGGCACCCCTATATTTTTTGTCCGCATCAGAAACAGAGGAGCTTATCATAGTAAGAGATACTTTGGAGTAGATTATTGCTAGGATTTTGGTCTAGAACCTCATTGTGGCTTCGCTATAATGCCAAGGCCAAAATAGGTTGAATTGGCAACAACAAGGCTTGTATGCTTTTGTTGATGCATGATTTCATCCTATATTGGGATGGTGAAGATTGATAGTAGACCTTAGATACTTTCAATGGAGGGGCTATCACAAAGCATTCATGAGAGACTATTATCTTTGCTACACATGAGCATCTTGTTGTAATATTATTGTATTTTAATTATGCATCAGCATCAGATTAAGGTTTCGTTTGAGACGACTTTCTAAAACATTTTTATAGTTAAAAAATTTCTTGAACTAAAAATTTTTTATATTAGAAAACTGCTTTAGAAAGCAGTAAGAAAGTTGTCCCAAATAAAATATAAATCTCAAAAAATTTTAATTATCTTATTTTAATAATTATTCTCTTGTGCATTGCAAAAGATTGACCTAAAGCACGCTACTACAAGTACTGAACTTTTTCGAAGGATCATAACTAGGAAACTACTTACTATTACATTAACCTGCGATCTCAAGTAGTTGTAGTATATTTCCATAAGTTAATTTTTTGTAGCATCTTTTTTTTTTTTTTTTGTAATATTGATCAGTCACAAGACTCAAAATTTGTCACCTTCTTCTTACAGTTCGTGTAACTTGCTCGTGATGATATATTTAATGACCAATTTTGCAACCAGTTCAACGGTCACAAAAGCTCTGCGTAACTGTGGTACAAAAATTAGACTTCATTTGAGATAGCTTTCTTATTGTTTATGAAGTAGATTTTTAGTACAAAAATTTTTAATTCAAATAAATTTTGTTCTAAAAAATTATTTCATAAAGCAGTAAGAAAGTTGTATTAAATGAAACCTTATGCTTCGTTTGGGTCTGCCTTCTTGCTGTTTCTTAAAACAGTATCCTACAAAGCTAATTTAAGAAGCAGTAAGAAAGCCGTCCCAAATGAGGCCTATCCATATATACTTTTGTCTTTTGCCAAACCTCAAAAACCATCTTTATATTTACATTCATGTCTATTTTTTCCATTGTTAAAAAAAAAAAAGAAAAACATACACAAAAGGCTTCTTTGCTTTAAGAATATATAAGATAAGTGTCACATTCAAACAAAATTCAATTCAATGCTCTTACAAATTTGATAAATAGCTATCGAATTTGTGAGAGCACATAACCATTTTTCTATGTTATGAGACACAATAATTTTGGAGAAAATTTAGGTCAAGCTATATTTTAATATTTATTTCAAAATAAGTAATATATATATATATATATATATATATATATCATTAAA